CACACCTAACCTTAAGATAATATTTTAACATTATTTTACCGAAAAATAATTTCACCTGTAATTTTCATATCTAAAGATTTTATAAATATTGCTATATTTTAATCATTTAATAAATTAAAAAATGTAATTATAAATAAAGTTAATTTTATTGGAATATATATATATATATAATAATAATAATAATAATAACAACATTTAATATTCAATGTTCATCGTTATTCGGTAGATCAATTTATATAGAATTTTAATAAACTAATAAAAATTCAATTGAAATAAATGGAGCGTAGTTTTTTTAAATACCTAATGATATAATTATATCTAAATTTAATCATTGTTTTTTTATTTTAAGACACAATGAAAATGTATTGTGAACAATAATATTTATATATTATTATATTAAACTTTTCAATTTACTTGAGCAATTAATTTTTAGTTTATGAATTACAAACAATTGAAAATGATTTTTTATTCAATTCGTTATATTAATAAATTTCAATCACATCCACATGATTTTTTTTTTTTTTTTTTTTTTTTTTAATAAACTATTAATAGCTTAATTTAGAAGGGAAAAAATGAACAAAGGATTAAATTTCAGTAATTGCCTATCGAATCTCGATGACTTTAAATTTCATTAGTCGAAATTGAATTACGAGGAGTGTGTTTAGCTAAGAATTAACATCACTTTGATATCCAATCCTTCACCAATATCCTATAATCATTATGGTGTGGTAATCTTGCAGCAATTATCTTAGTATGGGTTAACGAACAAAGTGCTTTATTATAGGGTAAATTATAATAAAGGAACGCACTCTAAATAGATAATTACCGAGAGCGTAATAGACATTGTCCAGGTCTTGAGATTATGTATTCGATTGGGACGCGGCGATAAGGAGTACCGAACACTTGATTACTTATTCAATGGCCAAGCTGATGAAGTTGAAAGAGCAAGAAGTGTCTGGATTTTAAGGAAGCGATGCTCGAGAATCACGTGCCTCTCTCGTCTTCCATCCTTCTTTTAGCTCTTTACGACTCTGGCCGACTTCGCGACCCCTCCCGACCTCATTTCGCCAACGCTATCCCGCCACCCCCGGTCGGTTCCATTTCGCGGATCGAGGTTTTTCCTCGACGTTCTCGTTACGCCCTTTAGCCTACAATGGTAACCCGTGGATTCGTTGAACGCGTCTTGCTCCACTCGACAACTGATTTTACCGTATGTTTACGAAGCTGTTGATTGTCACCAAGACCCCTTGACATTGCCTTCCCCGATTATCCAACGTCGTTCTTGTCTTTTATCTTACCTTTAGAATATGTTGGGCGCACACAAAGGCAATTTTTAACCGAGCTAATGTGTGTAGGTTTTAACAGCTTAAAGTGCGTTTGCGCTGGGCGATTCGAGTTACGGAATTTTTACGTCACACGTCACAATTCTCTAACGATACTCCAATGCTATTTCTGCACGTTTGCCGCGACTTTGACGCCCTTAATGGCTGCATGGTTATCATAAACACACGTTCTTTTATAGAGAAAGATGCAAAGTAAAATCTCGTCCAAGTGCAAAATAATTTATGCAAAATAAGATGTAACTAAGTTACAGGAAGAAAAACTAGAAGCAAACGTATCCTCTCCTTATTGACCCTTCTGTTGCAGATAAATTGTGGAGCTTCGGGAGCTTCGGGTGGTTCTTGCATAAAGACCTTCCGTTCGTCAACTTGGTCGTCAAAGGTTTGCAGACCTAAATAGGGGGGGGGGGGGATATTTCCCGAGGTAAACCGCCAAGGGACAGGCACATTGTCAAGAAAAATACGACCAAACGAAAATGGGTCGCAACTTTGATGGAGTTCTAGTATCTACGAATATTTTAAAAAAAATCAACGCTTCTAAGTCTCCTTGTCTTACCCGCGATGATTAATTTAGATGGGGGTGGGGGGATGTGCGCGTTCGCATGTGTGCGGGGGGTGGG